GCGAGTCGATATGCGCCTTCCTCGGCAGACAGGCAAAACCAGTGTGTATGGTCGCTCACAACGGGAACGAATTCGACTTCAAGCTGCTCCGGACGGAATTCGACCGTCTCGGACGTTCTCTACCTTCCTACCTGCTGTGTTGCGATTCCCTGTTGGCTTTTCGTGAACTGGAATGTGCAGATTGGCAAGCGTGGAAAAGGCCGAGGAGGTCGTACGCCCTGCAGAAGATGTTCGTCCGGACTTTCGGAGTGAAACCCAGAAACGTTCACGGTGCTGAATCTGACGTGATCACTTTACTCAAACTTGTGCTCAACCGAGGAAACGCAGTGTGCCGGTGGATGGATGAGCACGCGACAAGGTGGACGGACGTTCAGCAATATTACGTCCCGAAAAAGATCGAGGATAAGGTAAAAGGAATTTTTTTCTCTCTCTTTGTTTATGTTTTTCTTTTATGTATATAATTATTGAATTTAGTTTTTTTTCCTTTGTTTTTATTATTATTAATTAAATTAATCAAACATTGTATTTTTTTTTGTTCTTGCAGATACATGTAGAACATCTTCGAACAGTCCGATAGTGTAGTGAAAAGCAGACGTTCGATATCTTCGCATCCAGCCTTATTCGCTAGAACACTAAAAAATTGTCGGCGAACGGAAATCTATAGATTTCCATTCGCCATTGCATGTTTTCTGAAAAGCTTTATTGAACAATGCAAAAGCATCCTTTGTCCAAATTATCTCCTTTTTTTTTGTTCTTCTTTGTCTTTTATCATAGGCAGCTGGTAAAAATAACTGGTCTTCGGGGTCGCGGTGAACGACGCACCTGACGTCGCCGCACTTACCTGGGATAGCCGTTCTCGATCTATTGTACAAGCATCCTGATTTTAGATATCCTTTCGTATTCGACCGCCGGAAAGTGATCTCTTTCACAGGTCTGCCCTCTCTTCCCCACGTTCGTACGTGTTGCCTCCCTTGCCTCATCAGCACTCTCTATATTTATCGCTTTGCCATTTCGTCTTAAAATAAAGAGACTATCGAAAACAAAATATTTCTTTGTAATTTTTTTTAATTGGTATATCTTATGCAATCGTAATTCAACAACCGTTCTTTTCAGTACTTGAGATACGCCCTTGTCCTGCACTTTG